TTTGATTGGTTAATTATCACGGGTAATCACGGGTAGATCCATCAAAATTAGCCAATCAGACGAACTTCTTCCTTTGAATACACGCATCAGCCACTCAATATGATCAATTACTTAATTTGGATACACACTAAAAGACATATATTTAATAATGTTACCGAATTGATTTGGATTAGTTAGGGTTAGAGTTCGAGCTGGTATTAGGATTAGGATTAGAGTACATATGCTTATGTTATATATGCTAAATTAAATGCTGAAAAATTTTTAATTAGAAGCTCAAGACCAGTTTACATAATGATCGAGATATTTAAAATTTTCCTAATTTTCCTAATTTTTCGCTCATTTTTTGTTACACAAGATCCTGTGATCTAATTGGTCGATCATATCAACCTGCGACATAGCAAAAATAATAATAAAACATAGTAGAATTGATTAAAGTCGATTCTATCTGTTACAGTATATAGGATAAAAAGAAAGATAATTGGTACAAGGGAATAATGCGTAATGGAAATGATTACAAAATTTAAAAAAATGAAAGGGTAAAATAGGCAAATGTTATAATGATCTAATTAAACTATAAAATTGTATTCACGTGAATCATATTCACTTGAGTATTGTTTTAAAATAGCATAAATGTCGATTGTATCTAGCGTTTTAATCAATTTACTAGTGTGAACAATATCCGGATGTTCTTGTAATTTTATTGATAATTCAGGAATTGCAGCATCAGCAGTCCAAAATTCGCTAATAATTTTTGATTCATCATTAATTTCTCCACTAAAATCTAATTGCATAAACTCAATAAAATCATCAAGTTCTTCAGAATCATTGTATTCAGTGATTATTAAATTATACCATTCAGAAAGTTTCCGAAAAATAGTTTCAGCTGTAGGTCGTTTATGTAAATCAGAATTCATGCATGATTTTGCTAATTCGACGTAACATTCTGGAGTTTCTGGAGCGAATTCAGGTCTCAATCCTTCGCAAACTTTCAATGTAAGATTAAGATCAAAAGGGTGATTATAAAATGGTGTTATTCCAGTGGTCATTTCTGCCATAATAACTCCAAAACTGTATATATCAGCCGCTTGTGTACTTTCCTGGCCTTGTAAAACTTCGGGGGCAATATAAGGCATAATTCCATAAATTCCATTCTTTAATACACGATCCTCATTCTTTCGTGATAACCCTAAATCTGCTATATATGATTTTATTGGACCAGGCCATTCTTCGTGCAGAAGAATATTTCCGCTATGAAGATCACAATGAATATACTCTGCATCATGAATTTTCTTTAAATCATTGGATATGTCAACTAATTTTGATAATTTATCTTCCCAAAGAATATCTTTAAAATTCGATCTCAGATAGTTACGTAGACTACCCTTGTTTGCATATTGAAGCACCATCATATACTCATTAGTTGTTGTATGTCGAGTTAGTCCATATATTTCGAGACTACACCCTTCTAATTTACAGTGCATGTGATTTTTAAACTAAAAATTAAACACATTTACAGTAGTTAGTTATTCTAGGTTTAAATAATATCATCATTAATTTATTTTAATTTACCTCTGAGAAAATCGGATGAATTTATATGAGAGCCAGGCAAAGTTTTAAGTGCAACTTTAATAAAATTATTTGTATTTGGAATGGATTTATGCCAATTTGCTGAAAATACGGTGCCAAATCCTCCTTCACCAATCTTTCTTGTATTCGTTAATTTATCAAATGGAATCCATTCAATCGCCTTTTCAGGTTTCGTAGACTTAAATTGAAATTCTTTAATACAATGAACAATATCTTTATTTACACTTGTCCATCCTTGTGATGCCTGATAAGGAGCACATGACTGACACCAGTTCTTTGATGTATTGTACTGCTCACATTCTAAACATATACCATACGCTTCTTTTCTTTTAAAAGCAAACTCATCATTTGTTTGATACTTTTCATATACTATAAAATACTCACTAGTTTTCGTATTATGTGTAATTCCAAATATTTTGATGGTATTGTTTTTTAATTGCATCTGAAACTAAGTGACAAACGAAAATGGTTAACTTCTTACCATTATAAAATTGGTTTGCAGCTATAAATTCATCAAAATAATGATCAACTTACCTCTCTTAAAAAATCATTTGAATTATGAGAAAGAAGTTTAATCGTAACTCGAGAATTGTACTCCCGCGATCGAAATGCACTATTCGATCGAAATGCACCATTCAATTTTCGTTTACCATTTGACCAAGTTGCTAAAAATATATGCCCAAAATTATCAACACTAGACTTAATATCTAATTGTTCTTCAAAAGGAATCCATTCAATTACATTCTCATACTCTGTTGCTTCAAGTTGGCATTTTTTAATGAAATTATCCATAACATTATTTCCACTTGTCCAACTCTGAGCTGCTATTAGAGGATCACATGTTTGGCACCAGGCATTTGAAGTGTTGAATCGCGTACAATGCGAACATTCTCCATAATCACTATTTCTTTTAGAGCTAAACACATCATATACAATCATATATTCCTTTGTTATTGTGTTTTTAGTTAAACCACATATTTTAAATTCATTTTTCTCTAAAAATATATGATCTTTCAACTTATACAGTAATAATATAAATCATGTAAATACGTATTGACTAATAAAGATGCAGTATATGTAACTTGAGAAATAAATAAGCATACTTCTTTTAAAAAATTTAACGGGCATAGAGAACCATATAAACTTTTGAGTCCAAGAGATAATGGTTGCGGGTGTTTTGACTGTATCCAATCCAAACAGATTACATCAAAATAGTTTACATCTATCTTTTTTAATCCATCAAAAGGAATCCATTCAATCACATCTTCATATTTAGTTGTTTTAAGTTGATGCTCTTTAATAAAATCGTCGATATCTCTATTCCCACTTGTCCATCCTTGAGTTATTTCTCGAGGACTACATGTCATGCACCAGGCTTTTGAAGTATTAGGTCGCTTACAGTGCGTACACATTCCGTAATAATTACTTCTTTCAGAGCCAAATTTATCATACACCATCATATATTCATTGGTTATCATGTTTTTAGTTAGTCCATATACATATCTTTCCAATTGATTCGTGAACTAGCGATAACAATTTAAGCATGTGAACATGCAAATATGTAATTATTAAATGAAATTATGAGAACAGAAAAACTATTTAGCGTACCACTTTTAAAAAGTCTAATGATTCTTGAGAGCCGGGAAAACTTTTAAGCTCAACGGTGCACGACGACATGCGCGATCGATTATCATTATATGATCGTATCCCATCTAACCAGATGGCAGAAAACCCAGAATCAAACTCACTTCTATCAATCCGTTTTAATCTTTCAAAAGAAATCCATTCAATTACATCTTCATATTTAGTGGCTTTAAACTGAAGTTCTTTGATACATTTATCAACAATATTATTCCCACTTGTCCATTCTTGGGTCGTTCTATATGGATCGCATGATTGACACCAAAATTTTGAAGTTTTAAATCGGTTACAATACGCACATACTCCATATTCACCCTTTCTGTTAGAACCAAATTTATCGTAAACCACAATATATTCATTAGTTGTCGTGTTTTTAGTTAGTCCATATACATTGCCTTTCAAATGTACATGTTTTTTGAACTTAAATGTGAATTAAACATATGTAAATTTTTTTAATAATAATATGAATTATGGCAGATGAAAATAAAATAAATAAATTTCAACGGACCTCATTTAAAGAATAGCACCTTTCGAGTCCGACGAATGATGGTATACGCAACTGCTTGCACTTTCGGTTTTTAACTGAAATTGACCGTATTCCGTCCAACCAGAATGCAGAACTCTCATTAATCAGGTTTAATTTATCATAAGGGATCCATTCAATAACTTTCTTATATTCTTTAGCTTTAAGCTGAAGTTCTTTGATGCAATAATCAATATTCATATTCCCGCTTGTCCATCCTTGGATTGTTCTTTGAGGATCACATAATTGACACCATGTAGGAGAGGTATTGTATCGGTTACAATATGCGCATTTTTCATAATCATAACATTCCAATACCATCATATATTCTCCATTTATTGTATTTTTAGTTAGTCCGCATACTTTAAGTTCATTGTTCTTTATTCGCATAAATTTTTTGAACTTTAATTACAGAACATAAATAAATGCGTAAATACGAATTGCGTACAGTATGCAATATAATCAGCAATTTAGCTTACCGTTTCTATCGCATTAATTGTGTTTGGATCATCAAGACCCTCTAGCAAATTTTCGCACGAAATTATCATATTCGTTGTTTCTGGAAAGTAAAGACTCTGAAGTTCAACTAAACATCCGTCCAACTCTGAAGTTTTTCTTCTACTGTCTGACCAAATTGCTGAAAATGACTTATCGCTTTGAAACATGTCTCTTGGGAACATTTCTGGAAATAAAAAGTTAAGCTCAATCCGGTCAATTATTTTCAGCCTGTCG